TCCAGACTCACCCCAAGGTTTGATTTTCTCTGCACCCCACAACCCCTTCCAGGCACTCCACATCTCCCCCCCCAAAAAACCTTTCCTTTCCCGGAGTAAATCACACCCGGCCGTGAAGCACCAGCAGCATTTGTTGAAACCAGGATATTGTCTCTTTAAGCACATGAAAATCAGGCCCTTGAGCAGTGTGGTTCTCACTCGGGCGCACAATTATGGGTACTTTCAGCTGTCTACCACTATTTCAAGTGCTCTCTCCAAGCGGGCTGTCAATGGCATGTTGAAAGCTATTTGTGGCTGCTATCGTTATTAGCAAAGTGGAGAGCCTGGCTGATGAGAATTAAATTCAGGGCGGGGGTGTGGAGGGGCAGGACACAACCCCTCATTAGGGAATTATCAGCAGAAATGGGGTGAAAGCTCGCTGAGAACCCCCAAAATTCAGCTAGGAGCCCTCAAAATCCGAGCTAGGAGCCTCCAAATGCGAGGCAGGAGCTCCCAAATCCAGCCAGGGAAAACGGAATTCCCTTCTGCCTTGGGAGCGCTGAGAGCACAGCTCACAAATTACTCGGCTTCTGAAGTATTTAGCAAATTATTACCTGGCACTCCTTGCTAACGAGCACGACAGAAAAGGATATTGTGTTGCTAGAATATTCTAGAAACACACGCACAAAAAAGCTGCCTCTCTTCCCTGCAAGTGTTGGGGGGTTTAGGGTTTTTTTTTGGTTTTTTGTTTATTTTTTTTCCCAAGCATTAGGCAGGAAAACAAGAAGTGCTTCTGTGGAGCGTTCAGAGGCATAACAAGAAATCAAAGGCAGCACAAAGGTTCTGTCCTCCGAGGTGTCCCGTTTCCCCACGCAAAATGAGTTTTCCTTTTGGAATGGTTATTGCCCTCGGCGATTATCCACGGAGATCTGCACAGAAACAATGCACGGGCCGACAGGGGAAGCGAAGTTTTCTTTTTTGGAAAAATCAATTAACCCGAACAAAAAAAAAAAAAAAAAAGTTTTGCCGGTGTTTCAAAAGAAAAAAAAAACTCCTGATTGGAGTCGGGTTTAGGAAAGCTGAGCCCGGGGAAGGAGTTGAGTTCGGCAGGAAAACTGATGTAAGGAGCGATTCACTGCAACCGACTGGGGAATCACTTCCTAAATATTTCCTTGCATATGGAGTTGTTTATGAAACTCCGGTTTTTTTTTCCTAACGAGAAGAAAGGAGAGGGGGGGAAACAAAAAAAAAAAAAAAAAAACAACACACAAACCAAAAAAAAACCCAACCCCACACACGCAGCCACATATGCACACACTTAATATTCAGCGTGGAAGAGATAATCTGTTATATAAGCCCACAGACAGACAATCCCCTTTTGCTTAAAGATGAAGTATCCATCAATGTTTGTCTGGAGCAGATGTAATCACAAGCAGTCAAGTCTGGAGGGCAGGACACTGCATGAATAATTCAAGCACTTCAGTCTACTTGATTGTGTGCAGATAAACACAAGTCAACCGCTAAACAGGTCAGCTGATAAACTTGTTTGTTCAGGACCAGCCACCCTCAGCCAGATGCCGGCAGGACCACGCCGCAATTAGCGGGATGCCCGCCGGGGGGATGCTGCAGAACCCCCCCCCAAAAAAAATAATAAAATAAAATAAAAAAAAAAAAAAAAAAAAGAGGAAAACCTTCCCCGGGTGCTCGCTGCGGTCCGGCGCTCCCCCCATTTTCGCCTGGAAGAGCAGCTCGGGTTGCTTTGTTTGCTGCTGTCAGCTCTAAAGGAGGAGACAGCTCCAGCTTTTCTCGCCGAGCCGCCGGCAGCGGGCACGGAGCAGATGTCACCAACAAGGGACAGCGATGCTGCTGGGACCGCAGAGAGCGACCACGCTGGATCGCTTGGATCGAACCGAAGTGGGAATTGGGAGGTTCCTCTGGCGACCCCCCCGAGACCCCCGGAGGACGGGGCTGCTCCACCCGCGCCTCCCGGTGCTCATCCCAAAGCTCGGGATGCACCCGCGGAAAAGGAGGAAGAACACTGGGAACGGCTGGGGGACAGCAAAAGGGATCACCCCGGGATCACCCCGACACCCCGGGTGTCATCCCTGCAAAGGAATTATCCCTTCAAGGGAATCACCCCGACATCCCGGGGATCATCCCTGAATGGGAATCATCCCAAGAGAATCACCCCAACACCCCGGGGATCACCCCAGCATCTCCCTTCAAGAGAATCACCCCAACATCCCGGGTGTCATCCCTGCAAGGGGGTCAACATCACCCCAAGATCCTGGGGTGTCATTCCTGCAAGGGGATTACCCCAACATGGGAATGACCCCAACATCCCGGGTGTCATCCCTGCAAGGGGATCATCCCTTCAAGGGAATCACCCCAACACTCCGGGGTGTCATCTCAACACAGGGATCACCCCAACATCCCAGAGTATCACCCTAGCATGGGGATCACCCCAACACCCCAGGGTGCCATCCCTTCAAGGGAATCACCCCAACACCCTGGGGTGCCATCCTTGCAAGGGGATCACCCCAACATCCTGGGGTGCCATCCCTTCAAGGGAATCACCCCAACACCCTGGGGTGCCATCCCTTCAAGGGGATCACCCCAACATCCCAGGGTGCCATCCTCGCAAGGGGATCACCCCAACATCCCAGGGTGCCATCCTCGCAAGGGGATCACCCCAACACCCTGGGGTGTCGTCCCTGCAAGGGAATCACCCCAGCATGGGGATCACCCCAACATCCCAGGTGTCATCCCAGCATCCCCAGCACCCGGCAGCCAGGTAGGAGGAGGGTGAGAGGGTGGGGAGAGGAGCCCCTGTGCCCCAAGAGCCCGGGCTGGGGTCCCCCAGTGTCCCCTGGGTGTCACTGAGGTGGCCGCAGGCTCCGTGTCCCCCTGGCCACACCAAATCCGGCCCCTCCTCGCCCCAAAATCCCAAATTTCGGGGTGTTCCCGAGGCACCCTCACACAAACCTGGCCGAGCTCCCCCCAAGCTCGGGGGTCCCCACACAGGGACGCGGCCCCCGAGCGGGAAGTCGGGATTATCTGCGCGCAAGGAGATATTTATATAAAATAAAAAAA